ATGACATGAGGGTGAGTAATTAATGACAGAATTTTCATTTTTGGGTGAACTAACGCTTGAATCTATTTTAGCATGCTAAATTTCTTAGGACTCAGATGGAGAGAAGGACAGACAGACAGATGGATAGACAAACAGACAGACAGACAGAGAGATAGACTGACGGATAGACGGACAGAGAGTTGGAGAGATGGACAGACAGACAGACAGACAGATGGAGAGATGGACAGACAGACAGAGAGATAGACTGACGGATAGACGGACAGAGAGTTGGAGAGATGGACAGACAGACAGACAGAGAGATAGACGGACAGAGAGTTGGAGAGATGGACAGACAGAAAGACAGACATATGGAGAGATTGTTTTCTGTAGTGTGTGTGTATATGTTGTCTTATGTGATATGCTTGTATGCGGCAACCAAATTGCCTTCGGGAAATTAATAAAGATGAACTGAACTGAACTGAACTGAGGATAGACAGACAGACAGACGATAGACAGACGGACAGACAGACAGAGAGAGAGATAGACAGACAGATGATAGATGGACAGAAAGACAGACGGATAGATGGACAGACAGGCAGATGGATAGACGGATAGAGAGACAGACGGATAGACAGACGGATAGACGGACAGACAGACAGACGATAGACAGACAGACAGATGATAGATGGACAGAAAGACAGACGGATAGACGGACAGACAGGCAGATGGAAGGACAGACAGAGAGAGACAGACAGATGGAGAGATGGACAGACAGACAGACAGACGGATAGACGGACAGACAGGCAGATGGACGGACAGACAGAGAGAGACAGACAGATGGAGAGATGAACAGACAGACAGACAGATGGAGAGATGGACAGACAGGCAGATGGACGGACAGACAGAGAGAGACAGACAGATGGAGAGATGGACAGACAGACAGACAGATGGAGAGATGGACAGACAGACAGACAGATAGACAGACGGACAGACAGACAGAAAGACTGGAAGCAGTCTAGAGTGATTCCAGTGCTAAAAAAGCATAATGCACAGACATTTGATGATTTTAGACCTGTGGCACTTACATCTTTAGTTATGAAATGTTTTGAAAAATTAGTTAAGAGAGAAATTATGCAAAGGACACAGAGATCTTTAGACACCCTTCAATTTGCGAATAGGGCGAAACGAGGTGTAGAGGATGCAGTAGTAACTCCCTTCCACTTAATACTTCAGCATTTAGATAAGCCAAAAACAGTTGTTAAGTTACTTTTTATCGATTTTTCATCTGCTTTCAACACCATTCAGCCACATATTTTAGTTGAGAAACTCATTAATGAATTTGGATTGGATTTTAATCTTGTAGGATGGATTTTAGATTTTCTTGTGCAGAGAGTTAAAGTTAATGACTGTTTTTCCGAATGGCTGGTGTCATCTAAGTGAGTGAGTGAGTGAGTGAGGTGACATGTGGCCAAGTATGGTGACCCATACTCAGAATTAGTGCTCTGCATTTATCCCATCCAAAGTGCACACACACAGCAGTGAACACACATACACTGTGAACACACACCCGGAGCAGTGGGCAGCCATTTTATGCTGCGGCGCCCGGGGAGCAGTTGGGGGTTCAGTGCCTTGCTCAAGGGCACCTCAGTCGTGGTATTGAAGGTTGGAGAGAGCGCTGTACATTCACTCCCCCCATCTACAATCCCTGCCAGTACGAGATTCAAACTCGCAACCTTTGGGTTATGAGTCCGATTCTCTAACCATTAGGCCACGACTTTCATCTACTGGGTCACCTCAAGGATGTGTCCTCTCTCCTCTATTATTTATCTTGTACACAAATGACTGTAGGAGTAGTTTTATAAATGGGCATATTATACAAATTTGCTGATGATTCTGTAATTGTTAGCCTATTGAGTGAGGAGGACTCTATGCATGGTCCTGTGGTTGATGATTTTATTGTCTGGTGTCAGAAGGCTTTTCTATAACTTAATGTTCTTAAAACTAAGGAGATGACTATTGATTTTAGTATAAGCAAACAAGCATGAATGGAGTGGGTATTGAGAGTGTTGAACTGTACAAGTATTTGGGTACTGTTTTAGATAATAAATTGTCCTTTTCTACAAATACAGAGATTTTGTGCAAGAGGGGGCAGCAAAGATTGTATTGCTTGCGAAAATTAAGGTAATTTAATGTGGATAAAACATTGATGTGTATGTTCTACAGATATTATATCGAGTCGCTGTTATCTATGTGCTGGTTTAATTCTCTAAATGTGAAAAACAAGAATTATATTGAGAGGATTGTAAATCAGGGAAATAAAATAACGGGGAGGAAGCAGATGACTATGGCCCAGTTATATCATAGACAGGTTTTGGGTAAAGCCCAGAGCATATTGTCAGACAACTCCCACACTATGTATCATGAGTTCACCTTCTCCCTTCTGGCATTCGGTATAGACTACAACGGACAGACAGGCAGGCATAGGCATGGGTAGAGGGTTTGGTGAGCAAGATCTAAAAACTCACTGGTGTGGTCCTCAAGGGATCAAAGCCCCTTGTTGAGGAGAAGAAGGTGGACTTCTGAACATTTGCCTAGTGCTCCCAGAGCTATTGACAGATTTCACTCAATATTTCAACAGCATTTCTCTCCACAACAGGCCTTTCTTAAAGAGAGACGTCAGAAGCTGGTTGTGGAATTTCTTCCGAATAAAGGCATACAGGATAGGGTTTATTGCACAGTGAGAGAAAGCCATTGCCTGTGTGATGTACAAGGCCACATCTATGCTGTACCTCAGCTCACACATTTCCATCACCAGGCCGCCTCGCATCAGGGTGTCTATGAACTCTAAGATATTATTGGGCAGCCAGCAGATGATAAAAGCCAACATGACGCACATGACCTGCATGGCCTTCTGCTTTTGGCTGTTGCGTGTGCGGCAAAGCGTGCACATGGTGAAACCATAGCAGAACATCATGACGGCTAATGGCAGGAAGAATCCTAAAGTGTGGTGGAGAATCCGCAAACTCATCCTCCAGCTATCGATGCTTTTTTCGGTCAAATTGTCATGGCATATATACTCCTCCATATATCCAGACTTAAATGCCTCGCGATTCACCATAATGGGCAGGGACTACAAAAAGGCACATAGCCACATCAACGCACACACTATACCAACCAGATGGCGTTTTTGGGTGAGGAATTGGGTTGCTTTCACGATGGCCAGGTAGCGATCAACACTAATGCATGCCAGCAGGAAGACACAGCAGTAAAATGTGGCTTCCTGCAAGCCTGAAATCAGTTTGCACATAATTGTGCCGAATATCCAGTGGCCGGCGTGAAGGTAAGCAGCCCAGAATGGGAGAGTCAAGGCAAAGAACAGGTCGGCGATGGCCAGGTGCATCAGGTAAACGTCAGTAGATGTCCTGCGGTTCTCCATGCAGCTCACCACGAAGATCACCACCGTGTTGCCCGACAAGCTCAGACAGAAGACTATGACGTAAACCAAGACCAAAACCGTGCTGTTTATAATATGCATGTTTTCTTGGCAGTGAGTCACCAAATCAGGGTATATGAAAACTCCTATTAGTAAAACAAATCGGTTTGGACATTAATTTATCCCCTCAGCTGTAAAGTTTTTAAATTGAAGGTAAATACTTTTTAGGATGATTGTGTATTTGTTTTCTGTAGTGTGTGTGCATATGTTGTCTTATGTGATATGCTTGTATGCTGCAACCAAATTGCCTTCGGGAAATTAATAAAGATGAACTGAACTGAACTGAACTGAACTGAGGATAGACAGAGAGACAGACAGACAGATGATAGACAGACGGACAGACAGACAGACAGAGAGAGAGATAGACAGACAGACGGATAGAGAGACAGATGGATAGACGGACAGAGAGACGATAGACAGACAGACAGACAGACAGACAGACGATAGATGGACAGAAAGACAGACGGACAGACGGACAGACAGGCAGATGGACGGACAGACAGAGAGAGACAGACGGATAGACGGACAGACAATAGATGGACAGACAGACAGACAGACGATAGACGGACAGACAGGCAGATGGATAGACGGATAGAGAGACAGAAGGATAGACAGACAGACAGACAGATGGATAGACGGACGGACAGACAGACGATAGATGGACAGACAGACAGGCAATAGACGGACAGACAGACAGACGATAGATGGACAGAAAGACAGACGGACAGATGGACAGACAGACAAACAGAATGACGGACAGACAGACAGACAGACGGATGGACAGACAGCCAGACGATAGATGGACAGACAGACAGGCGATAGACAGACGGCCAGATAGACGATAGATGGACAGAGATAGATGGACAGAAAGACAGACAAACAAACAGAAAGACGGACAGACAGACAGAATGACGGACAGACAGACAGATGGCCAAACAGAGAAAGAGATAGACAGACAGACCGATAGATGGACAGACAGACGGACAGACAGACGATAGACAGACAGACAGACAGACGATAAATGGACAGATAGAATGATAGAACGACAGACAGACAGTAATAATACTGAATACAGTCCAAATTCTGAAGGTACATGATCTGAGATGCAGCAGCTGCACATAACATATTTTTTCTCTCTCTGTAATAAAACAACAGTCACCGAAGGCCAAACAGAAGCAGTGGAGCTGATTCACAAGCAGTCGTCTAACTGCAGCAGTATGTGGACGAGCATATTCCGTCATGGGGCATTACACAAACAAACCCTAAAAATACAACAGTGCATTGTCACATGCTGCTAATGAGGGCCGATCAAATGCATGAGTCTTTCCTCCAGTACGAGCAGCTCTGGATTCTCTATTATTACAGTCCACGTGTCTCTTTCACCCCATGAGACGCAGAGACGCTCCTCAGATGTTGTCATTGTAGATATATTGTATGAAACGTGCCCCACATACAAAAGCAATTTGAGAGTCTGCCGCTGTCACATCTCGACCCTCCAGCTATAAAACCATGTTCACGACTGAATGGACAGACAGACTGAAATGCGCTCGCCGTGCATTAATGCCGTGTTGTATGTACTTTAATAAGACATTTTTTCATCTGCATAATCAAGCAGCGCTCAGGCCGAGTGTTTCTCCCTAATTCTGGCTCTGCCTCACAGGAAGACATTAATGGTTTCATTTTCTGTTGCAGGTGGCTGTTATTTCCTGATGAATGTTTCGGGCTTCAATTTCGTCTGCATCGCTGCATTTCAGCAGAAAGCCACTGAACAGAAGCTCTTTCTGGAAGGACAGTGATGCGACATGATTGTGACATTATCACGGAGGAAATTACACCTGATTTTAAGGCTTTTTAAAAAAAACAAATTCAGGGAATGAAAGAACTACATAAAAGCTGAATCAATCACACGGGAGACACGTCCCACAATGCTCTGCTCTGCTGCTGACTCATTAATTAAAAGAGGCAAATCTATTTTCTACTTCATCTTCATTCCACAGAACTGGGTTGAATGGAAACCTATTTCACTACAGAATGAAAAACAACTTAAAATGGTAATTGCGAATTTTTATCTGACAATTCTGACTTTTCTGACATAATCTCAGAATTCAGACTTTCTTTCTCACAATTCTGACTTTATCTACATAAAGTCTATATATTATATCTATATATTTGTTTTGTTTTGTTTCCACCACAGAATAAAAAAGGGACTTTTTATCTGACAATTCTGACATTCATTTTCAGAAGTGCAAGTTTATATCTTTCAGAATTGTGACAAAAAGCTGCACTTACCTATTTTCTTTTTTATCTTAAAAATCTTTTATTTTATTTTATTTCAGTGGAAACAAGCTTCCATAGGGCAGTTTCTAAAAGTTGACATGAAATGAAAATTTAGTCTATTTTCTAAATGCATGTTATTGATCTTATTGTGAACGATTCATCTGTGCATATCTTTCTTATCTTATCTTTTCTTGTTTGTTTGACCTTGTAATGTTTAATCAACATTCAAAACGGCATCTTCCGGTAAAAAATGACGACGTATGCAGGATTTTTCCAATCATTTAGTGCTCTTAAGCTCCGCCCCTCAAGCTCACACTCATCTGCATACAATTTTGAGTGCCACGCCCACATTTCAACATCCAAACAACAACTGATGCACAATCAAGCCCCACCCTACATGTTTTTCTTTTGCCATAATCCGATCACAATATGAAAGAAAGAATACATACGAATACGAGAAGTTTACATCTCACAATCCTGTGTTTACATCTCTCAATTGTTTCCCCACCGCGGAATTGTTACTTTTTATCTCACAATTCTGACTTTCCTTCTCAGAAATGCAAGAAAAAAGTTCTAATTTAAAGATTCTATTATGCTCATATGTATCTGTTGCATCATGAATTTAAAGGGATGGTTCACACCAGATAAAAGCGTTATGTTATTGTATGTATTCTCAGTAAATAGCATGGACATTTTTAGGTAAACTAGTCCTGTAATCGGTCAGTTAGTGACTTGTTCATGGACATCTAATCTCACAGCACTACAAACTCATTCAGCGGCAGAGAAAGGCTGTGTGGTGTGATGCATTGCCTCTTTTCTTGTGTTTTTCTCTGGGTTAATAGCTGATCAAAGCAGATGTTGTGTCGCATTTATTCATTTAGCTGATGCTTTTATCCAAAGTGACTAGGAACAACACAACTGATGTGGGCAGAAGGTGAATAAAAGAGAGAAATGAACACTAATTTGGTCAAAGGCGGTTAAGTGTGCTGAGCTCTGAGAGTGTCAAAACATTGTTATGCTGGCTGCTAATTAACACACACACACACACACAGAGACCCTGTTATTCACTCGCTGTCACTCTCACTGAAGAGTTGAATTAAAGCTGCTGGTTTTCACAGGTAGGTTAATAGGCTCGTGTGGATGACCGGGGCAAATGAACTCAAGCGGTCTGACCATATCAAACACATCATACAATCCACATCAAGAAGTCATGAATCAGCTGAAAGAACCCGCTATCATTCATTAGCACGTGGATTCGTTCGGCACGCGCACAGCAATTAACCCAGCGCTGGTGTCAGACTTCAGTTTGGTGTAACAAGATGACATGAACCAGAATGATGTCTGATCTGCTGATTATGGAAGCCCGTTTAAAAAAAAAATGAATAAAACCACAATTCAGACTTTCTTCTTGCAATTCTTATAAATAAACTCAGAATTCTGAGAAAAAACACTTCATTACAGGATAAAAACTTAGAATTCTGACTTTTTCTTGCAATGCTGAGTTCTACATTTCATAATTGTGACTTTTTTTTCTCAGAAAAAAAATTGAGTTTACATCTGGTAATTTAGACTTTTCTTTTTTTCTACCTTAATTCTGAGTTTTACATTTCACAATTTTTTAACTTTACATTTAAGTTTACAATTAATCTTTTTTTCTCATAAAATGTGAGTTTACATCTCATAATTTTGACACACACATAAACTATATTTCAACAAATAAGAAAAATCTTCATCCTGTTCAAAAGTTTTCTTAAAGGCTCTTAATGCATCGTGTTTCCTTCTGGAGCATCAGTGAATGTCTGAAACTTTTAATAGTTGTGTTTGAGTCCCTCAGTTGTCCTCGGTGTGAAAAGATGGATCTCAAAATCATACAGTCACTGCTGGAAAGGGTTCAAATATGCAAAAGATGCTGGAAACTGAAGAATCTGCAGGACACAGAGGATTTTTCTGAGGAACAGCGCTCAGTTTAACTGTTCAGAACAAACAAGGGACTCATGAACAACCATCACAAAACAGAAAACAGTGGTAGATCATCAGGTAACCACACACAGTATTAAGAACCAAGGGTTCACAAACTTTTGAATGGGGTTATTTTAATAATGTCAGCTATTTTTTTGTCTTGTGGACTAAATGTAAATATCTTTTATGTAAAATATCTTACTTAGGACAGTACTAAATAAAAAATAACAGGCATTTTGTATGATCTCTCTTATTTTGTTAAAATTATTCACATTTTCACAAATTCTGCAAGGGGTTCCCAAACTTTCGCATGCCAATATATATAAACTATATATATTATATATATATATAAACTTTTTTTATCTCACAATTATTTTTTTATTTTTAATCCTATGGTGAAAACAAGCACCCATATCTGACAGCTGAATAATACTGAAAATGATACTGGAATTGGTTTAAATATTTCATATTGTAAATAACTACAAACCATTTGAATCATATCTAGTTTTGAAACTTAGTATTTTTTTTTATAACAGTAATATGCTCACATATAAAACATTAATTTGTAAAACATAATATAGTTGTTTAACAGATCAGAAGTCAGTTTACATTAAAATGATGAATATATGCAATAATATTATATTTTTATTGTTATATTATGTTAAATATAAATATAAAAAAATTGAATGAAACTGAAATTAAAATTAAAGTGTAATATTTATTTATGATTAATATTTAGGATGGATGACTAGACCTTCAGTGTTATTTTAGTATCACTGAGATACGATTACAGTTTTTGTTAATAT